GGAGATGGTGGACTCAGCATCCCCCAAAACACACCTCCAAAGATTCCGCTCAGCCATAAAAGGTTTAAAGGAAAGGAAGAGAGTAAACTCAGTTATTACTGAGACAGGGGGTCAGACTCGTCCCTGTCCCCCACTGCGTTCAGGCTGTTGACTTCTGTGATCTTCCCCTAGACACTATCTTGTTCACACAGCTTGGGCACACAGTTTGCTCGTGAGATTACCGAAAGGGAAGCTCAGGAAGCGATCTGGTCATCTGTTAATTGTTTATTCTTCTTTGATCTACAAGTCAGGCAAGGTTTTGTGTGATTAAAAGGTTTGAAAAGCATGCTTGGGCTGGAAATGAGTAGAGGTGGGGGTGCCTGGCTTAAAACTTAGTTACAGTGTAGCTTTGCTACAGAGACAGGAAAAGGGGCTTTCTGCTGAGGGCAGTTTGCTTCAAAGAGCTGCTGGCAAGTCCCCACTTGTCAGAACATCATCCCATTTCTGTGGCATTAGAGGGGAAGGTCTGTCTTCTGGAGCTTCTTCATGTCAACATAGTGTTCTAGAGTGGAAGATGTCAGCATCTCTTTCCTGACAGTTCTAGTTGCCTGCTCTCGTATATGGGCAGGATAGACTGCAGTTATATTGGTGCCAACAAAGATAGAGACTATTATGGGCAATCATGTCCATCTCGTTCTCTTGAGGTCAGTTCTTGGAATCATGCTGACCATAGACTCAGTGCTTCTCGAGACGGAGGGAGGAGCTTCTGGCATGGCTGCAGTCTGGCATCACACAGTTGGTTTTTTTCCCCTCTGGTGGCAGTTATGGTAACTGTAAAGCAAGACCATGCATCAGATGCTGGGTCTGCAATGCTGTTGTCCTGATCGTGAACTTCTTGGTTTTGTACTTGAGAAAGTGGGAGAAACCTGTAGGATTCTGTTCGGTTCCAGCTTTACAGCAGGAGTCTCTCATTTTTATTTCTATAAAATCCCTGAAATATCCTTGCATATAGTATGTGCTCCATGCATATGGGCTGAAAGAATAGAGGGCAGAGGTTTCATACTGGAGAAGCAAACATAATTTAACCATTAGAATTTGCACAGGTCACCATGCTTGTAGGCGTGCGGAAGTAGTCTTACATGACACTCAACATGAATGAGGTGGAAATTTATTATTGGAAATAAATATGGAATCCTAGAGCTATATTAACTAGGAGAACTTAGCTTCCATGTGACATTTTTTAGGCTCACAAAATAGCCTGTCACTTCCCTATATTTCTTCACGTTTATTGTGAGCCTTTTAAATCCCTTCTAATAACCTCAAGTTTACATTCCACAGTCTACTTCACTTTTTTATTGTTTATGTGCTTCCTGTGAAGACAGCTAGACAGACAAGGCCACAAAAAGGAAAGCTTGTCCTTATCCAATACTTATGGGTAACGGTGTAATGGGATTTTTTTCTTTCCTACCAGAGGAAGCCCGCTGTTTCACTCAGAACTCACCCATTTGAGGCATTTTAAATGGATGGGATGTTAGAAGCCAGGCAAACTGTCCTTCTGAAAGTGAAATGAATGCGAGTCTAATTGCTGGAGAATGTATCAGTTGGGCTTGGAAAGCAAGACTTCTACACTGGCTCCCCCTGCTGGCTCTGAGGATGCACTGTCTTTGGAAACTGATGAAAGCAATATACCTAAACCTTTTCGTTTGAGGGCAAGGCACTCAAATGCCAAATATAGCATTCTTCTAGAAGGCATTTACTCCGTCCGTGATAAACATACCAAGTGTTTCTTGAATTTGCTTCCAAAGGGCAGAAATCCTGCAACCCAGAGCACCCCACAGCCAAGACTGTTTTCCAAGGGGAAAACAAAACATGCCACTTGGGCAATTTCATTAGGGAGTGGGACCACCGCCGACGCGGGGATTAAGGGTAAAAACTCAGTAGCCGTAGGTGAGATAAAGAGCCAGACTGTTTCTTACGGTTGTAAAGTTGGACGTGGGGGCTCTGAATTCCCTTTTCACGTGTTTAGGACTGCTGGAAACTTCCGGCGACTTAACTGTTGTTTCTCTTTCCCTTCTCTCTTTCTCTCTTCACAAGAAAGCTGGTTATCCCCACTCAATGAGAGATGCGGTGACCAGATTAATTTTAAAAACGGTCGGTCACTGCAGACTTCAAGCCTATTGTAAAATCTGCGTTAAAAGGTCTGGCTGTTGGGGGAGACAGGAAATCTGGTAGATTTCTCCTGCTTGAGTCTGAGTCCGTGTGGTGGGAGAAAGGCAGAACACTGACCTATGGCTTTGACACGCACTCCTGTACCAACTGGACCTAGTGGACAGGAGAGGGAACATCAAGGATGACCGCTGCCTTCCTACAGCATCTCCCTGGAGAACCAGGACAGAGAGACGTCAGAAATGTCCTTGTAAATACGCCACGGAGAACCTTGGGTTTGGGGAACTGCAGAGCCACCCCTACCGAGGTTATACTATGACCCTGTGACAAATGGCACAGTGCTGGGCAGAGGGAATTTGTTGTGGTTCAGTCGCTAAGTCATATCCAACTCTTTGCGACCATGGACTGCAGCACGCCAGGCTTCCCTGTCCTTCACAGTCTCCCAGAATTTGTTCAAGCTCACATCTATTGAGTCAGTGACGCCATCCAAACAGTTCATCCTCTGTCTTCCCCTTCTCCTCCCGCCTTCAGGGTCTTTTCAAATGAGTCAGCTCTTCGCATCAGGTGGCCAAAGCATTGGAGCTTCAACTTCAGCGTCAGCGTCAGTCCTTCCAGTGAATATTCAGGGTTGATTTCTTTTAGGATTGACTGGTTTGATCTCCTTGCAGTGCAAGGGACTCTCGAGTCTTCTCCAACACCACAGTTGAAAAGCATCAGTTCTTCAGTGTTCAGCATCCATACATTACTAGTGGAAAAATCACAGCTTTGACTATATGGACCTTTGTCAGCAAAGTAATGTCCCTGCTTTTTAATACGCTGTCTAGGTCTGTCATAGCCGTTCTTCCAAGGAGCAAGCAAGGGAATTATATACATACTTTATTTGGCTGTGTTGGGACTTAGTTGCAGCGTGCAGGATCTTCACTGCATCACGTGGGATCTTTCGTTGCGGCCCCTGGACTCTAGCTGTGGCACATGGGCTCTGGGGCGCAGGCTCAGTAGTTCAGGCAAGTGGGCTTAGCTGCTCTGTGGCACGTTGAATCTTAGTTCCCTGACCGGGGATCAAACCCATGTCCCCTGCATTGCAAAGTGGATTCCTAACCACTGGACCCCTGGGGACATCCCCACACTTATACACTTATTCATCGATGGCATCCCTTCCCCATGTCAATGTTGCTCTTATTGGTTTATTTGTTTTTGTCACTCTGCTATAAACTTTTTCTTTCATTCAGGTCAATTTCAGATGTTTTCACATTTTCCACTCTCCTCAATAGGTTCTTTTGCCGAACTGCTTGGTGGTTCCCTCACTGCCGCTGAGGCTCTTATTTCAGCTCCACGAATCGCGTCCTCCTCTGGGAGGATGCCCATCCTCTTGCCTCTGAATTAAGTGTTGGTAGTTGTTAACAGATGGTGGGTCAGAGCACTCAAGTACAACTCAGTTAAGTGGTCTAAGCCTGGCTGGGGGTCAGGAATTTTTAAAGGACTCGGTAGGGTGATCCTTCTGCTCCTTGTGATCTTGGCTGAGGTCCTCAATCGGGTGCGTTCAGCTGGCAGCAGGACCAGGTAGGAAGGTGGGAGACAGCTTCATCCACATGCCTGGTCCCTCTGCCACTCTCTCCCTGTCCCCCTCGCCCCTCGGGGGGCTCACTTGAGTGTCTTTAAGCAGGGTGACTGGCTTCCCAGACGCAGAAGGGAAAAGCTGCCAGTTCTCATAGGCTTTGGCTTGAGGGGCCCAGAGAATCATGTCCACATTTCACTGGTCTAAACAAGTCATAGAACCAGTCCGAACTTAAGGAATAAAGAAGTAGATTCCACCCCTTGAGCAACAGGGCGCTTTGGCCATCTTTAACCCGTGTGTGCTGATAACTTCTGCTCCTCTGTTTTCTGTACTTTAACTGTGTGTCTTATATTTTATTCCTTTGTCTTTATATAAATTTATCATTTAAAAAGATTTCTAAACACATTTGGAAACCCTCCCAGCAATGAGTTCTAAAGTGATGCCTTTATTTGCCTTTGAAAAGTTTACTTTTTTCTGCACATAAATCCACAGAGATATATTATATACATTTTAAGCCAAAGGGAAATTTTTAGCTAGTTTCTAATATATAGCCACCATTATATCTGCCCAGTTATTTATTTTTCAAGGAGTTATGTATTCCGGCATAAACTTGACCAGCATCATCTGTTCAAGACAGAATATTTTGTAGCATAGAAATGTTAGACTGTCGTGTGTAAAATGTAAGTAAATGTCTGAGAAATTAATGGGGTGAGATGGGGAGGGGGCGGAAGGGAGGTCCATGAGGAGGGGATATTCGTATATGTGTGACTAATTCACTTTGTTGTGCAGCAGAAACACAACACTGTAAAACAGCTATACCCCAGTAAAAAAATTTAAGTAAAAACTGAAAAAAAAAAATTAAGTAAAAATAAGTGGGTTTTTTGCAACATAAATCAAACAGGAAAATAAAGTGCGTAGGAACATAATCAGCCAACGCTCCTTACACGTTGCATATTGCTTGAGTCAAGGGATAAAAGCAAATTGAAATTAAAATCTGTTTGGCACTTTGGGAAGTGCTGTGTGAGAGGAGAGATGTGACTAGAACTGCTGAGTGAATTTTGTTTACCGCAGTTTAGCTTTCCACCAAGCAAATCATGTGAGAAGGGCCGAGGATAAATGCACCTATTTATGTAGGTAATTTTTCTGCTCCACGCCTCTGATTCATCTCTCTGCCTCGCTTTATGGTGATTCATGCTATATTGGTTACAATTAATTTCACTGCTGCATATTGGCCATAAAGAGATATTTCATAAATTGGCTTGATGTATAATTTTTTTTCCCTCTGTGGCTTTCTTAAAAGATGAGAATGGTCCAGAGGAAAAGCCAAGTGCAGAAGAAATAGAAGAGCGGAGCCAAGAAGCAGGTGGGCTCAGATTTCTTTTGCAGCGTCTCCTCGGCCTCGTCCCCAGAGGTGAACAATAGCTTGCCTTAGTGCTCTTTTCAGTGTTTATGCCGTTTCACCGGGTTAACCTCGGTGTCCACCCTGGTCTCCCTCAGGCAATCACCAGCCCTGCTAGCGCGGAGCATTAGGGTCTTCAGTCAGAAGAGGACCCTCTGAGGTGTCAGTCACGAGCTCCTCTTTGCTCCCATGTGATAGCAGCTGGCTCAGTGATGCTCTGCCCGGGCCCGGAGGAGGCTGGAAGGACCGCGGCAGAGCTGGGCCGACTAGGGCAGGTCAGAATCAGCAGGTTTAGTTAGAGGGGAAAAACGGAATGAGAAGCATTCAAAGGACAGGTATCAGAGGCGTTCCTTCCACAACACATGGAGTGTCCCGTACTGTTCTGCACTCGCTTTTTAAGAGCTGCGCTTCGTTCATTTTTCTGGGTGTTGTGGATGATGCAGTGATGTGGCCTTGACTACCCCACACCCAGCGCTCTGTGAGATCCAAAGAATGGAGGTGCCAATGACATGCTCAGAGATCTTCTGCTGTGGATGGTAAATTGAACATTTTTAACACTTAAGGCTCAAAAAAGATGGTCATCACCTTAGGTTTTTCTTTTCTTCCTCCCCATTTTTATACTCAGGCACGCTCTCCTTTGAAAGAACGATTCACACACATGTTATGCAGTTGTCAACATAACCACCCAAACAAAAACCTCCTCCTTCTATTTTTCCGAGTCATTCTTCTGGTTCTAATGAGCCCAACAAGTGGGGCCTCTTTAAAATAGGGAGCTCTGCTCATGTGCCAGCCACAGTCTGAGCCTTACTCTGGACTCTTGGAAACAAACCAGGTAGTGTGACAGGTTTGTCAGTGAGAAGTTCCTGCATTAACCTGGGAACTTTTGCTGGAGAACTGAAAGCCTTCACTATTAAACTGGAAGATGGAATTGAAGACGGCCCATCAGAGGAGGCGCTGAAGCAAGGAGCCGGGACCTCGTGTACCTGCTGCTGGGTCAGCCCGCTCCCCTTGCTTAAACGTAGTCCTTGGGATGGAATGAATTTCTGATATAGAAAAACGTTGTCATCCGCACCACCGTTGCCCCCAGCTCCCGGTCACCACATCATTATGTTCCGTGGAAGATGAGGCTGCTGTGAAAAGCTGTCACTGTTTTCACTGTTTGGGGCTGATGAGTATTAGTCACCCGGCTGCTGACGGCTGAGGTCATTCTCTGAATGTTGCAGCTTTACAGGTTTTATTCACTCATTGCGTGTGTGCGTGTGTGCGTGTGTGTGCGTGTGTGTGTGTGTGTGTGCGTGTTTGTGTGCTCAGTCACGTCTGATTCTTTGCAACTCCAGTTGCTCTCTGTCCCAAACTCTTTATCAACATAAATCTCTCCCACCCTGTTCGTATACACACACACACACACACACACACACACGTATACATGCACACACATCTGCCTGCATTTTATTTATTCATCTCTTTTCCCCTTAATCAGTTGAGAACAGGCAGTTTCTTTATGGATTTGGGACCATCTTGCATGTTAGGAAAGAGTCATAGAACATAAGCCTTCTTCTCCACCTCTCAGATGGACATACCACAGTATGGCTGCCTCTCAGTGTAGAGAAGATTCCTAAACACACTTCTTGTTCTTCTAAGCAGGGTCGTCCGCTGGTTCGGAGCCCAATGGCAGGATTCATCTCGGATCTTGGCCACTGTCAGCATGCATGGTTGTAACTGCTCTACCTCCCTAGTCCTGGTGCAGAGAAGTCAGAGGTGCAATGGTGGTCATTAAAATCCTTTTGACCTGCTGTTATTCTTCCAAAATAAAAATATCTTCCTTTCATTCATTAGAAATTCCGGCTTCAATTCTAACTGCACAGCTCTGCACGCCTCTTCCCTATCATGCAAAAAGCACAATCTCCAGCCAGCATCATCCAGCAGTTCTGACCGCTGTCATGATCAAATCAAAGTGATAGATCTTATTCCTCAAAGAGCCACTCAACAAATACCTATCCAGCGTTCACTGTGGCCCAGGCACTGCTCTGGGCCCTGAAATAGGGCAGCGAACTATAGAGACAGTATCTTTTCTTCCTTGAAATTTTTGCTCCAGTGGCAGTGATCCAAAAGGAAATAATAAGAAAAGCATGGTAGTGATAAGCACCTCGTGGAGAAATGAGGTAATGTAGAAGGAATCCTGAGAAGGCAGCTTTCCATTGGCTGGACTCGGGGAGGACTCCCTGAGGACAGTAATTAAAGTGAAATTTCAGGGATAAAATGGAAGGAGAACGTTCCAGATGAAGGGACCAGAGAATGCAGATGTTCAGGTGAATTTTAACAGGTCGGAGAAGGAAGTTCAGAGTGACTGGAGCCTGGTGGATAAGGGAGAACAGGGGTGGGATTCAGGAAAACACCATAGGACCAGGTTATGTCTGATGTAATCAGTAAGAACTGATTCTATTAGAACTACAAGGAGAAGCCAATGGAAGGCTTTTAGTAGTGAGGGAACATAATCAGTTTTAACTAGCTCACTCTTGCCTGTGAATGAAAATGAGTCAGAAGAGCCAAAGTGAGACCAGTTGAAAGACTGTAGCAGGAAGGTAGTGATGGCAGTTTCTGGAAATGGAGACAAAGTCGACTGCTGTGTTTCATCCCAGAGGCAGAGGTGACAGGATGTACTGATGGTTTAGATACAGGCATAGAAACCCAGGCTACATCCTAGGCTTTGAGCATCAGTAACTATGTGGATGATGGTGCCACTAACTAGTGTATGAAAGACTGGCCACAGGGCACAGTTTTTGTTAATAGAGTTGATAGTTCAGATTTGCCCATGGTAAATCCAAGAGGACTCTCAGCCATATGGGATGTCAAGAAGCCATTTAGATATATGAGTCTGGATTTCTAGGAAGAGATGTGGACCAGAAATACAGGCTTGGGTGTTGCTGGTGTAAAAATGTTACTGAAAGCCAGTGACTCGGTGAGATTCACTGGAGAGAACATGTAAATAAGGAGAAGAATCGGGCCTGGGATACCATGCATCTAGATTGTGGCAACAAGGGAAAAGGGAACAGCTGCAGCAAGAAAGTATTTCAGAAAGAATGGAGTGGACTCTGAGATGCTCCTGAGAAGTCAAGGAAGATAAGAAAGGAAAAATGACCCTTGGATTTAGCAAAGTGAGGTCACGGACACCTTTGAGAAGAGAATACTGCGAGGAGGATGGAAGCCAATTGGAGTGCGTTACAGAGAGGCTGTGAGATGAGGAAGTCTGGAGCAACAACATGGGTTGCTCTCTCGGGGAGTTTTGCCTTGAAGGGAAGCAGAGAACTGGGATGATGTGACATCAAGGGAGAATTGATTGTTTTTAGTTTGTTCTTTTGTTGTTCATAGGAGTTTGTCACCTAACAAAAGAAAGTGATTCATCTCCCATCATCTCCCTACTAAAAACTTTTATTCTCTGCTCTGATAGAAATGTGACCTGAAAGTGATGGTCATGTACATTACAGACAAAGGGTATGCTGAAAAAAAAAATCTGGTTAGCCTTTATTTTGTTGAAAATATAGATACTTATTAATTGCTCACAGAATAATATTAATACTGTTTCAGAGATTCAGTTTAGTAAGTATATCTGTAAAGTTTTAAAGGCATTACCAAGGTAGCCACTTTTTTACTTTGTATGGAAAAATCTGTCTTTTTTTGAGATATTCATCACTTTATTATAAAACAGGTTTTTGTTAGATTATTTTGCTCAGCTGTGAGCTTCCATGGTGGCTGAAACAGTTAAGAATCTAATTGCAGGGGGAGGTGGGAGGGGGGATCGGGATGGGGAATACATGTAAATCCATGGCTAATTTATGTCAATGTATGACAAAAACCACTACAATATTGTAGAGTAATTAGCCTCCAACTAATAAAAATAAATGAAAAAAATTAAAAAAAAAAAAAAGAATCTAATTGCAATGCAGAAGACCTGAGTTGGATCCTGAGGTCGGGAAGATCCCCTGGAGAAGGGAATGGCTACCCATTCCAGAGGACTTTGTATGTGTCACTAGTAGTAAAGACCCCGTCTGCCAATGCAGGAGACATGAGACGTGAGTTCAATCCCTGGGATGGAAAGATCCCCTGGAGGAGGAAATGGCAACCCACTCCAGTATTCTTGCTTGGAGAATCCCATGGGCAGAGCAGCCTGTTGGGCTATAGTCCACAGGGTTGCAAAGAGTCAGACATAACTGAGCAACTCACACATGTTTGCCCAGCCATAGGCTGATATAAATGTCCTGCGTGTGTGTGTGTTGTCATGCGTTTTTGAGTTATCTTTAGTTCTATAACCTCGTTACTGCATGAAAAAATGTATACATTCCTTTTCCATTTGTCAAGTATTAACCATTCCAAGTGATTTTGGTAATCCTTCCCATCTTAAATGTACTATTTCAGTGTTAGTAAGTTAGTTACTATTCTGCAGGCCAAGTGGAGTGAGTCCCCGGAGTGCTGAAGTCCTAAATAGAAAGACCGGCTCCGATGAGGTTAATTGCTGCTGCGGTGGGGGTGGGGGGGCTGGCAGCGCGCCTGACTGACGTGGAATCACCAAGCGGCTCTTGGTGCTTTGACAAACGCCCCCCTCCTCCCGGCCTCCGCACGGACACCGGCCCGACGCCCCCCTGCAGCCTGACCGCGTGGCGTAATGGGGCGAGGCGCGGTGCTAAGGAAACCCAGACTTGACACACACACAGAAAAGCGCTTTGTAGAAACTCGCAGCCTTTTACTAAGAAAGCTAGCCTCCCATTCTTCTAGAGGCGAGGGAAGAAACGAAAGGCCAAAGCCTAACAGTCCCAGTCTTCCTCACCGAAACATAGTTTGTAGTTCATTGGGCTCCGTCTTACCCAAGGGTTCTTGTTCCAATAGTCATAGAGGAGAGTCACAAACCTGAGCCCCTCTGAAGACCATTCAGTGTCTGAGAGCGTGAAACGGGCTCCCTCTTCCTTCGGTGGGGTGGGAGGTGAGGTGGGCAGGGCAGCGCCCACCCCGCAGGACGGACTCTGAGACAGCGTCTCTTTCTGCCTCACAGATGGTACCAGCACCGCTTCGGCGCCCAGCCCTTCTTCAGAGGAAGCAGTTGAAGTCTGTAAAGATGAAGGTATGAGACTCATCTAAAAATCTGTGCAAACTCTCAGGAAACCATCTGGATTTTGTTTGTTTGGGGAAAATGAAATAGTGAGCAAATCCATCCAATCCTCTTTAAGCATCTCTATTTCCAACACAAATAGCCAACCTGCTCTATTTTATTCCATATCTACCCTTTCCAGAATTTGTATATCCATTTGTTCCTCTAACAGTAACTGTTCATGAAACAACAGGATGATTGGAGAAATTACGTTTAAAGAAGATGTTTATTTGAAACACCAGAAGGAGGCTGTTTACAGCTACTTGTCAGGAATGGGTTCATTTGAGAATCACCTACCAGAGAACTCCATTATCTAGGCAGAATAAAAAAGAAATGTTTGAAAGGCATCCTTGAAAATAAATCTTTGACAAGAGCACCACTCCTCATTCTGTGGACAGTTACTGTGAGAAAATGTTGCTGACCCAAGTATCTTTAAAAGAAGAAAAAAGGAAAAGAAAAATTTATGTAGGTTCTAAGAGAAAGTTTGAAGGAGACATTGCAGGGACATTCATGTGCAGATAACAGTTTTAAAAATATGTATTACCTAAAGGAAAATGAAATTGTCATTTCTCCCCCCTGTGATTAATTGTCCCCACACACAAAAAAGTAATATTTTAAATCTGTAATTGATAACTAGTAAAAACTCTCTGAATGGTAGATGAGATTGTGGTACTTGTACAAATGGGCGTCTGCTAAACCATATGACCTACTTGGAACTTTTAGATTAATATGCTGAATGCATTTCTTCCATTTGGAGTGATAAGAAAATATGTCTGCATGTAAGGTTGATAGTAGCTAGTCCTGGAATCAATGTTTAGAAAATCAAAGTTGTCTTAAAAATAACACTCAACTGTTTACATCAGTCATTTCATCTCCTGTTGCCTGTAAATGGTTTTTATAAGTGAGGCATCCTGTGTAGGAAGGATAGTTGCTAATAGTGTGAGCTCCGGGGCCAGATGCTTGAGGCCTAGATCCTGTCTCTGGCACTAGCAACGTATGTAGCCTTTCACAAGGAATTCTAGTACTTAGCAAGGAATTGATATGTCATCACAAGTAGTTAACTTCTCTGTGGTTCAGTTTTCTCCTCTATAGAATGGAGAATTACCTCCCAGAATACAGCAATACATGCCCATTGCTCAAACTGTTCCCCTGGTACCTATGTAGGGTGGGTTCCCCAGGAGACTAGGGAGCTAACCTTTATTAGGGAGGGCTCTTGGAATCAACACTTGTGAAAGGAAAGAATGCAAAACAGGATAAAGAAATTGAACTGCGAGGCATTCTCAACCGAAGCTGCAGCCAGGCTGAAGATGACGTGACAGTTCTGAGATGTCCAGTTGGGATGTGAGAGTCTGGCTCTTAAAACCTCCCACTGAGGAGTCACCTGTCACTGTCTGCCAGGGGAAGGGGTTGTGGTCTTGGATGAAGCCTTTCTCTTCTGGTCAGATGATCTTAGAAGCTTGAGAAGGGATGAGGGCAGCCAACGACTAGAAGAGAAAGGTCTTCCTTCCTGAAGGGGATCCTGTGGACCAAGACAGCATCCACTGTACTGTCGTTTTGGTGGGCTTTTTCTAGTTCATTGTCTTTTTTTTTTTTTTTTAATGAATCCCTTGGCATCTCCCTTCATACTCCTCAAATATGTGTTTCTTGGTTGCTGTCTTACGTTTGTTTTCTGGGTTTTCTCTGCACCATGTGGGCTTGTTCTGTTTGTGGGGTGTGTGAGGGGGCTTCTCTTGCGGTGCACAGGCTGAGTGGCTCCTGGGCATGTGCGATCTTAGTTCCCCAACCAGGAATCGAACCCCCATCCTCTGTATCTCCTCGTGTCTCCTACACTGGCAAGCGGATTCTTTACCACTGAGCCACCTGCGAAGCCGTCCCAGTCACTCAGCCTGTGATAACAATTTTTAAATGTCTTGAAGTGGAATAGCAAAGTTTTCGGAAACAAGAGAAGTAATCTAATTTAAGTGCTTCAAACTGAGATTTTTCCTGTGGCGTTGTTTGGTTTGGAGATATCACACCTTTGCAGAAACACACTGCGATGTTTCTTCATGCTTTTAGGATCTCACACCATTAATTGCTCGTGCCAGGATCAGTTTCTCAGAACACTTTTAGGTGTTTCTTTTTTTACACGAAACTTTTAATGGTGGTAACGCCAATGAGTTCTGTCATGTATCACAAAGGCCATTTCCTAGTAAGACCAAATGTGAAGTAAGGGGGTTTCTTTTACTGAAATTGTTAATGTCCATTAACCCCTGAATCTAAGGAAAAGAATTTTGAAGTTCACATTTACATGTGATCCAGTTTCCATTAAAAACAGAATATACAGGTTATGATTTTTGCCTTTTTTCTGAAATAGCATGTATTTATAGAAGACCACAATTTTAACTGATTATCATTCCAATGCTTAGACCAAGCGTCTATTGCTTATAGAACTGCAAGCGTTGGAAATACAACATACTTTAGCTTGACTGATAGACACATGGCTTAGAATGAAAAAAAGAAATGAATTTGCCATTGAGATCCTCCAAGATTGAGGTCATGATGAGGTTAAAAGGCATTCATATGTGTTGAGAATTCATTCCAAATATTCACCATCATGTTACATGCAGAAATATATCTCCTTGGCGATGTCTGGGCTATTTATGATCTCTGCAGCTATGAGACTGCTTAAAAAAATGCTTATTACGCTCTCCAGTTTAACGTCAGAGCATTTTTGATGACCAAAGTTTCTCGAGGAGCCCCTGCTCTTGACTTTTCTAGTCTTTGCTTCTGACCCAGCATCTTCTTCTTAGGTCTTGGAATCACCAATATTATGGACTGGCCTGTTTTTTTAGTATCCTTTCCAATACAATTCTCAGAGATTTTGAGCCTTGTCAGTTATTTTAGCTTTGCTTATTGGTTGGCTGGCTTTATATTTGTTTTAATTTTGGCTCCCACAGGAACCCCACTGTCTTCTTAGAGTGCAAGGACTAAAAATAAACCAAAAAATGAGCAGGTAATGTCACTTGGTTTGGAAGATAAGATTTTAAAAAAAAAATTAAAACAGATATGTGGAAGCAGAATAATTTCAAGAGGAAACATCTTTGGGTGTCTTCTAGGTCTGTGATTTTGTTCAAGTGTTCTAGCCACATTTCCCACCAGGTGCTGAGAATGGATACTTACTGCCCATTTGCCCTGTGTAACTACTAACCGTCCAAACCGCTAACAGAAGGAGGTACAACTCATGGATCAAGAGCTAGATTCTGAGCTCAAGACGGAGGACACCTGTTCCAGTGACTCATCCCAGCCCTTGGGTGGGCAGTGGTTGAGCTGGGAGGATGAGATGTGAGGAGGAGGAATGCTGATGAATAATTCATCCATACGGGGTGGATGTGACAGCCAGGATGGAACAGAAATGAACTCCAAGTTAAAGAAACCTGAGAAAATATCTGTCAGTTGATAGGAACTCTGAGGTCATTTATAAAACAGGGCACACACTTGTCTATTGGCAGATTTCTTTCTCTACTGGTAGAAATATTCCAATGATTGATTTAACGGTAGTTTACAATTTAAATCCTTAAATACAAACCCAAGAGTACAAATGTTAAGGCTATTTAAGTTAGCAAATATAGAGGCAATCAGATGAAGGGGAGTGTAAACCCAGGATTAAAATGAGCATTAGGAATATCAAGTACTCTGGCTGAAACTGCTACATCCTCATCATCATTATTTAAGATATAGTCAGTCTGCTTAACTCTTGGAGAGTTAAGTTAACTCTTCTCTGTCCTGTTAACTCTTAATAGATCATCCTCACTTGCAGCCAAGGTTAATGCACCTTATTAGGGGGAACAATGCTATTTAAACACATCTTGATTCTCCTATCTTATTTCTTTTTGTTGTTGTTTAGTCACTAAGTCATGTCCCACTCTTTGTGACCCCATGGACTGTAATCCACCAGGCTCCTCTGTCCGTGGGATTCTCCAGCCAAGAATACTGGAGTATGTTGTCATTTCCTTCTCCAGGGGATCTTCCCAACCCAGGGATCAAACCAGCATCTCCTGCATTGGCAAGTGGATTCTTTTACCATTGAACCACCTGGGAAGCCCATCTTATTTCTTAATCTATCCAATTTGAATTTGAAGGTCAGCTAGACTAAACCATATGCTCATCATATGAACAAAATCAACTAACGCTCAGGTGCACACACACTCGAGCTTGTATTCCTTTGCAGCTCTGAGTAAGTCACATCATTGCTGTCTGCTGTTTATGAAGTGGGATGTCACTTGGCGAAGGACACCTTAACCCTGAATCTAGTTTCAGGCCTCCTAGAGGTCAGAATTTCCAGAGGATGGGGGAAAGCTTGAGAAAGAGTCAGGCTTGCCACAGAAGACAGCAGAGAAAGGGTGGGGTTATGTGTGAGCAATCGGATTCAGGGATGAGCAAGTGAAGTGAAGTGAAAGTCACTCAGTGTTGTCCGACTCTTTGCGATCCCATGGACTATACAGTCCATGGAATTCTCCAGCCAGCATACTGGAGTGGGGAGCCTTTCCCTTCTCCAGGGATCTTCCCAACCCAGGAATTGAACCCAGGTCTCCCGCATTGCAGGTGGATTCTTTACCAGCTGAGCCACAAGGGAAGCCCAAGAAATGAGCATAAATGCTCCCAACCACAAGTAGCTGTAAACCTCCAGAATCTGTTTCTATTTCTTGTCTACACTGTTGGGGAGAAACAAAACTCTGGGCCGCCCGTGAAGCTGCCCTCAGACTTCTCTCGTCTGACTTCCCTTAGTTCTTCCCCTGGTCTTGGCATCCCTTCTCGCCCCGCTTGGCATCCTGCCCACGCCCCGCGACGGTGGGCCAGAGCTGTGCCCCGTCCCAGCTATGCGCTGACGGGGCGTCGGACACCGCGGCCCCTCTGGGCTCTCACTCTGGGCTGGGAAGAGTCTGAGGCGCGGAATGAGAGCTGCTGCCCCCTGGTAGTTCAGTGAAGAGGCGAGA